CCATATGTTGATGTTTGTAGGAAGAATGAAATCTTAGATTTTAATGTTTCGAAGCGCTCGATATTTGCACTTGATTTTTGTATTGTGCAATCTGGGGCGGGCGGAATTCGAGATTAATAGCGTCGGTGTAAATAGGTGCAATGACTCAACCAGTGGGTAAAACTGGGTTGGACCTCGTTTACCGCGAATAACGTGTTGCCGCAGACATTGTTGCAGTTGCTTGGGCAAGGGTCCAGAAACTGAACCCTTGGCTCGAGTTGCTATGACGTGGCAGCACGAGAACGCATCGCCGCAAATGACGGCTGTGTGCAGGGGCTGTGTCTGAGAAGGAGAGCCTCCCACGCGACAGCTGCCATGTCGGCATGCGTTCTGTCGAAAGAACAGCAGCGTTCGTTGTTGTTGTTGAAGTGGGTCGTCTATTACAATAGATAAAACTATGCTAAATAAAATTGTCGGACTTTCTTCGTTGTGTGTACTCGGTTGAGGGACTTGATTTAGGCAGGCGGAGGCAGGAGCGCAATCCGCGGAACGAGGTGACGTCGCGGCCACTCATGTTGGGCGAGGAGCTGGAGAAGACGACGAAGAGCAGGCTGCGCGGGCTCTTGTACGAGGCTGTGGTGCAAGTGCAGTTGAGCGACACGTGCCGCCTTGACGGCAATCGTCACAGCAGCGTTCGTTGTAGACTTGGTCTTCGAGCATCGAGCTCGTCGTTCATGCATGGCAGCAGCATTACCGTAGCTATGTTCTGAAGACAGTTTTGGCTGCCAGGACAAGTAACCCAGGTCATACGGCGCTGGCGCTCATGGTTCATGGGCAATATTTTCGTGTATGGACAGTGATGTATGGATATGCCACCGCCTTGAAACACACACACGAAGCTGTAGCCGCTGGGCGAGCGAAGCACTCGGCAAAGATAACTGAGAAGACGCAGAGCCGCACGGCTTCAGAGGAGAGAGGCAGGAAGCAAGGGCAACTCATAACCAGTTTTGGAATATACATTTATTGTTCGGGAGTGGAAAATGCAGGGCTCGTGAAAAACCACTCGGATCGAATGGTGGAAACCAACGAAGATTTTTCGAGTTGATATGTGTGGCGTTGCGGCCCTAAAGTCATTTCCCACTCTTCCCGAGCCGGATGTGTGGTCGACACCGTCGTTTGTCGTCGGCAATCGGTGTCGGCGTGAGCGTCTTGTACGGTTTCGCTTTCTTGATCGGGCTGGTCGACATGGTACTACTGTACACCAAGCCGCTTGAACAGCCTCATATCCTTGCCAGAGCACTTCAACCCCGTCCATAGCTGACGAATGCTCCGTGCAACCATGACGCATTAACTCGCACACACTTCGCCGACACATACACCCACACCGGCGAGTCGACGCGTGTCGACAACGACGCTGCAACCATCGGCATCTCCATTCGGAATTTAGAGCTGTGGAGAGTGTATTCAGACTACTAACAATCAACAAACTCATTGCAACCACCGAAGCTGCAAACCTAGCCACGTGGCAAAACTACCCCGACGGCGTGGATGGCAACAACAACGCCCAACTATGCTCCGTACCTTCGAGTCCTTTCCGACATATACAATCCCAAACACGCGGGCTCCGTCGGTGACGCCGTGTCAGAGCACATAAATGCGTCCGACGACAACATCATGCAAATGGTTTTCAGCGAGCAACACGAAATAATGTACAGTCAGCCATTCCATTGACGTGCGCCTCGTGTTTCTTCCAAAGTGAGCATGACCATGAGTTGTGTCGTGGCAGGAGAGCAGACGCAATTGGAGCTCGGGGCGGTAAGCAAGATTCGGGTGGCGGCCACCGAGACCGAGTTTGCATCGGCGTCTAATGCGCACGTGCGCACCGGCGCTTTCAGTCAATTTCAGCGTCAACTGCTGGCTCTTCCAGCGCCTCGCGGTCGCAGTGCCTTCTTTTGCCGGGTTCTGACCAAGGCTCAGCAGCACTGAAGCAGTTCTAGTTTCCAAGATGGAGTTGGCTGCTTCCATGTCCGCGCGTTAGTTCTGTCGAAAGAACGACGTCGGCGTTCGCTGTTGTTATGGTATCGGCGCGTCAAGTTTGTCTTTTATTCATGCATAGCAGAAGGATTGCCGACCCATGCTTTGGCGACAAAAGGTCTCGCCGCAGATCTTTGAGGCGGTCGCAGACGAGGATGCGTAAGAAAGACCCGCGCACTGGGAATGTGATGGCTGGAACGCCATCGGGCGGTCGTGCCAAGTACATCGTTGCTATTAGCACCCAGCTTGCGTGCGGACTGCTCGCGCATTCCACAACCATGTCCATATTCTGATGCTGCATGGTACAATCGCGATATCGGAGGCCAGTCCACACCCCAATGCTCTTCGTTCCAGCGATAGAACCGGTGGAAGCCCATGTGCGGCTCTCTACGGGCCGCACACTGGTACACTGTACCAGCGTAGAGATAGTCCTCTCAGGCAATACATGTGGCGACAAGTAGTACCCGGCGAGAAACCGTGCCGTTGCCCCCAGAGCTTTGCCACAGAGGACCCACGTAACATACCGGTACCGGTACATTCGTTGCTGTGATCGACGCATTGAAAATCATACTTCAGTAGTATATCGCTATGTATGTCATGTAAGCCTGCAATGATGTTACCGAGAGCGATCGATTGGTGGCACTATTATATAGTAGCACGGATCTGTGTTGCACCGCTGTGGTCGACGGCGAGGCTTCTTTACTGGGTAGTATCAACCCACAAGCCATGACATCGGTGCGGCGATACTTTTTACTTGTTGCGTGTGCTCGGCAGTAAATTTTTCGTTGTGCAAAATTGGAGCGTGCGCTGGGTATCTCAGCTAATCGCACACACTATTACATCTAAGGTGTACTAGCTTTGGGTATTCATGGCCTCGATACCAAGTCCAGCTAGGACCGCTGCGGCATTACTGGTGATGTGCATAAGATCCATCGCTGCGGTCAGTGATTGGCGGCTAAAAGGTCGTTGCGTGGCAGCGTTGCAGACTTCTCTACCGCACGACATCCGACACTGCCAGACGTCACTGTATTTCAGCCAACTGGAGAACGCGCCTCGTTCATGCCATCGCCTTGGTCTTCTTATCGCAGCACCCGCCCAGTATACCGGCACGCAGTTCCATGCAGAGCACTTAAATGCTTTTGAAAACACGCAAGTTCGTT